GCTCGGGTGAGAGGGGGCCTGGGGTGCGCGTCCCTGTCGGGGGAGGGGCTGACGCTGCGCGCGTCGTGGGGCTCGGCACGGTTTTTTCCAGCGGGTCTGCCAAAATCTGAACACAGTCAGCTGATGCGGAGTCACCGTCTAACCCTGCGAGGGCACAGGCCGCCTTTAATCCTCCGCTGCCGGGATCCTTTATGACGTAGCGAATGTACTTTCTGCCCAAGCGTTTGATCCCGCCCCTGCATAAGGCGTACACCCCGGGCTGCTGCGGGGGAAGCGGACCTTTGAAATGTGTGTAGCTTTCATATTCTCTCTCAACACACTTCTATAGAGCGCCTGCTTCCTGTCAAGCATCAGAGTAGATATTCTGTAGGACCAGAAATCAATGATACAACACGTGAGTCCTATCTGTGGGGGCACTCTTGGTCCACTGGGGCCTAGTGGTTAGATGGGGGCTGTGGATGGTTGTAAACAGAAATATATTACATATTACCCTCCCTAGGTAAGTGCTGTTACAGAGGTACAGAAGGAAGGCGTGAAATGCTAATTTGGGGAGAGATTTTTTTAAATTTTTTTTAGAGGATCAGGAAAGGCATTTTGAAGCAGGTGTCAATTTGAATCAGTTAGGACTTGGTCAGATGAAGAAGTCAGATTTGGTATGGGATGAGCAAGGCCTGGAAATTGGAAAGTGCTTGGTGAGGGTTTAGCAAAGGGTATAATGAGTAGGTGAGAAAAGTCTAGTTGAAGATAGAATTTGGAGGGGCCAGTGAGGATCAGAATTCCCAGCTTGTATACTCAGATTTGAAACGTGGTAAGTACTTATGAATTGAATGGCCCCTTCATATGTCAGTTGGACTAATGTCACTTGGACTCATCTGCACCAAAATCTTGAAAATATCTTTGATTCTTTCTTCTTTCACATCCTACATTTAATTTGCCAGCAAATCATAGTAGGCTCTACTTTTAGACTCTGACCACTTCATTATGTCCTCATTATAATATTAAACTCTCCTGCCTGGGGCGGAGATTTAGCCACCAGTCTTTAATATGTAATGTATGTATAGGCATGTTTTCCAACTGCGCATGCGCAGGAATGTTCCCACCTGTACATGGAATTTTATTCATGATTTCCCTGAATAAAGATGAATCTGATCCCTTATCTGGGGACATGCCACTTTGGGAAGTGAACCCCTGGTGTGTCCTTGCTTGCTGCTTGCAATAAAGTTTATTCCTTTTCATCAAGTCATCTTAGAGTTGTCTTTTGGCTGACAACTATTGAGTAACTGGACCCGGTTCCCTTGGGTAACAAATCAAGAAGTACAGAGGGGGAGGCCCATGTTCCTGTTGTCATTATAAGATCTACATTGTGGCATTCTCAGAATATGAAGCAAATTTAAAAATTAATAATAATGATCCGAGAAAGAACCTGCTTTCAGTGTGTTTTAGCCAATATTGTTCCAGCTGCAAGTAACAGAAACTTTAAGTTGCTTAACCAGCATGTACAGAGCTGGAGGGCAGGAGTGCAGCAGGGCCTCATAGGCAGATCTGTCTGTCAACCGCTGGTTGACGTCAATTCAACACCAAGTTTGGGATGGGGTGGAGAAAGAAACTTTATTCAGTGCAAGCAGCTCGATTGTGATATCGCTCAATTATGAAGCAGTATAGCTGTTAGGAGGCCCTGGAGTGAGGCAGCCCTGGGGCCAGCCCCTCTCTGGTGTGGCAGCTCTACTGTGTTCTGGCTAAACATGTCAGTGTTTCAGCCTCAGCTGAGGAGAGGCAGTCTTTTTGACTTCAGTGGAAAGGGAGAGTATGCTTCCAGAGCCAAGGGGGAGCTGACTTATATAGACAGAAGTCCCCACTCCCGGTTCCTGATTGGTCTGGCCTAATGCAAATGAGGACTCCAAATTCTCTGGTTGATTGGTCCAAGAAGCCCTGATTGGTCAGAATGGAGCAGCTCTGATTGGTTGGTGAAGATGCTGATGGGGCTAATACTGAGCAGCTCCAGTTGGACAGGGAAAGCCTCAGTCCTATTGCCTGATTGGTCTGGCCTAATGCAAATGAGGACTCCAAATTCTCTGGTTGATTGGTCCAAGAAGCCCTGATTGGTCAGAATGGAGCAGCTCTGATTGGTTGGTGAAGATATTGATGGGGCTAATACTGAGCAGCTCCAGTTGGACAGGGAAAGCCTCAGTCCTATTGGTTGAAATAGGATTCCAGAAACTCCTTTATAAGGGCTGGCTCAGAGGCAGGTAGTTCAGTTCAGGCTTCTCCCTAACCTGCAGTTTGGATGAGAGGCCCCTGTGTAGAAATGGCTGTTAGGCTCTGTTTTTGTTTTTTTTGTGTGTGTGTTTTTTTTAATTGAGCCCAGTTAGCCTCCGGGAGCCCTTCTTAGTTGGTATTCTCTTTCTCAGGATCCACCTGCTGAAGGAAGCTCTATTGTTTTGTTTTGTTTCTCTCCCTCTCTCTCTCTCTCTCTCTCTCTCTCTTTCTCTCTCTCTCTCTTTCTCTCCTTTTCATGGACCCCTGTGCCTGCCTCTTCTCTCTTTCTCTGCAGATTGGCTTTTTCCATCTCTGTATCTCTGTGGCATAACTGCCCCCTTCTCCACTCCAGCAGCCAGATCACATGTCCCTGCCCTTCAGAGGCTGATTTGCATTCTGTCACAGTGCCAGGGGACAGAGTGATGGGTTCATCTTGGGTCGGTGTCTCTCCCCGACCCAGTACCTCAACCTGGGAGGAGGTCTCACTGTCCAACTATAGCTGCATGTGGGTGAAAGGCAGGTCTAAGAGCACAGGGATCAGGTGAGCAGGAGAGACCACTGCAGAGAGTGTTTGTGAAGTGGTCTCTGGGGAGAACTGGCCATCACCTTCTAGTAAGTCTAATCTGGTGACTAGAGTGTCTCTCAGACTAATCCAAGTGTCTGTGTTAGGTTTGCCTAACTAGGCTCTCTGTTAAACACAGGTACATAGGAGTCACCAGAGTATTTATGATAAAATGGTAGTGAGAACAATGTCCACGATATCATTTGATGTTCCTAGATAGTGCTTTTAGACTTTTGTTCCACAATAGTTATTTTTCTAAGGATTAACAGGCATCTTTTTTGAACGAGGGCTTTAAAACTTGTCAGGTTGCCTTTTGTGTGGCCTTGATGGGGAATATAAGACATTTTTCTGAGCGGG